TATAAAAGCAGTTGTTTCCAAACAGCAACAAGAATATCTTGACATGTGTCAGTTAATTTTATACTTCACAAAAAACACCGGTCTTACATATATATGTAAAACCAGAGACATATTACGTGATATGTTATTATGAACTGTTGCATTTTACATTTGAGATGCAACTATGCATATTCATCATATCCTGCTGCTGTGATTGTAAATTATAACTTCCTTCAATAGTATTGTATTTTCAAGTTAATGCAGTAATTATGTAAAATGGATTCAAAAAAATATGATTTAAAAAATATGAAATTTTAAATAGTTTGTTAATAAAACAATTAAATGAAATAACACTTAAAACTAGCCAATAAAACTCTGAAAAATTTAAATTGATGTTGGACAAGCAACAACCAAGTGCTGTAAAAAATATTTAAACCAATTCAGTAAAAGTTAAAATTGATAAAAAAACATAATTTTTAGTTGCACATTTATTCAACAGTTTATTAAACATATATGATATATACATTGCTTATATTGTATATATTTATATTGAACTGTCAAATAAATGTAGAATAATTTCCAATTCAAACAGAAAAATCGTAAAGCTTATGTGAATTCAACTGATTGCTAAACAAAATCCAGGTTTTTATTACTGACCATAAGTTGTTTGTGAATAAAAGTTGCTTTATGTTAATCTACAAGGATATTAGTGATATAACTACCAACAATCCTATGCGCATATAAATTTCAGTTTCGGTATTCTCTTTGTTTATTGTGTTTCATAAAAATATACGCAATATCCTGCATATGACAACGAATTTATAGAACATACTTTATATAAATCCAATAGAATGCTATATACAAAATATGGTTTATTTATGCACATTCTTAATGGATTTCTGTTCTATCCAGTAATAAGTTTGTCTTGTTCTTCTTTTTCTACTTTTTTTATTTTATATTAAATTTTTGGTTAACCAACGCTGTTATTAAAAAAAGGACCACAAATTATATTCCTTATTTATTTGCCATAAATATAATATTTTCACGCATACTTATTTATTTCCCAAATAACACAATATATAAACAAAATTCTCCGCAGGACATAAATCTGCAATTTAAGCTAAAATTGTGTTTAGTTTTGTTGCTTTTTGTAATTTACTGCATAAAAGCAAGTGCGGCCCACACTGCGTATGAGCAACTTTAATTCGAAATTTTGCGTTTAATGATTTGAAATTTATGTTAATGCAATGAATTATTTTCGATTTTGTTTTCATATATTTGTTTATGCAAATTAAATTATTTAATATTTACATAAAATGATTAAAAATAAATTATTTAAATATTTTCGCCACTGATATTTTAAAAAAAAATTTTTCTTTCAACTAAAAAGTAGCAAAAGTAATTAGTATTATTTTTCGCTTCACAAGTTGTTTTGAAACTTTGACCATAGCAGGCGCGTTTGTTAGACCATAAAGTATTTTTTAATATCAAGTTTTTTCCCGAATTTTATTTTTTTATATTGTATATGCTTTTATTGTCTAATCTACTGTTAAAGTTAACTCAACAGTTAAGTCAATTATGCAAAACATACGCTGGCCGCAGTAAAAATGTTTTATAAAATAGCGGCGGTAAAATGTGTGGAATTAAAAGAGAAATTACTTTACCATATTTCCAGTGCAATTTTTACCCAGGAAACCATAAAAGTTTTAAATTAAAAAGAGAATTGCTTTATTAATAGAAAAGTTGAAATGAAAAGTTTTAGAAGGGGTTTTTTATCCTCTAGCAACAGGATGCAAAGTGCATAATCACGGACAAAAGTTTATATTGAATGTATATATAATGCAAAACTTATAAAAGCTCCTTAAATTGTTTACCAAGCACAAGTAAAACAAATCATTTAGAATTTAAATATTTATTTAACAAAATAATGTTCATTTAAAGTTAAATAAAAAAATGCTAAAATTTTATATAGTCATACTAGAAATATAAAAATAAAGCAAAGTATTTTAATGGATGCAAAAAATTTTTCTAAAGGGTCTATGAATTGTCGACAGAACTGAATAGTCAAATAAACATTAATACATACGTTGAGTTTGAAAGATAATACCTTGTGATCAAAAAAGAACTTATTCATTCTTTTTTGAATTCCCGCACTTATTCAATCGGTAATTTTTTTTATTTTAACGCTGGCAACACTATTATACACATTCTGTCAAAGTTTAACGCAT